GTGGCTAACTGGCTCACATAGAAAACATAGAACTAGCAAGACTACTGAACTAATTAAACGAATGAGCAGTACTAATGAATGCAAAATAAAAAACTAATTGTTTAGGAATATTAAAAACCAGAGCCATTAATGCTAATACAACAACCATTAATCCAACTGGCAAAACTAATAAACTAACAAGACAAACTAGCCAAAATAATAAACTGGAAGAACAAAAAAACAAACAAACAAAAATAAACAAATGAAATGTCAATCATGAAACGCACGAACAAGTGAATCTAAGTAGCAAAGTTAGCAAATGAGTGAAACTAGTAAAACTAAAATGAACTGAACTTTATTTGCAAAATGAACAAACAAAACTAACAAACCTATAAATTGACAATGAATTTTTTTTTTAATTAAAAAAAAGACAACCGAAAATTGGCATTAGATAGACAAACTATTAAGCGAAAGTAAAAAATGAACCAAACATTAGCACGTTTATTGAACAAAAGTAACAGAATGATTGATCCACAACCTTTTGCTATCATGCGTTACGCTTAGCACGGGTCATACGGAAAAACGGATTGTCATCTTAGTCACACATCGTCAGTTATATAATTCTGTCATTTATTATCCATTATTTTGTAATATATAATTTAGGTGATCTCATGGATGCGGGATTCTCCAGGATAATCTGGAATAATATAGGAATGTACCGGTAGTACGGTGTGTGCGATCGAAATTTAAAGGACATCTACTTTTTTTTTTTTTTTTTTGTCAATAGCCATTTAATTTGGCTTTTGAAAGCACACATGTTCCAGTTGCTAAGAATGAAATAACTCCCGAGATGCTCCTCCAAGATGCAGCGAATGACAACAGCTAACCCATTAGAGTCCAACGTTCAATTCAATTTTTGTTGTTGCTTACCATTTTTACACCACAAAGCACTCAGAGGTTTTCGTTTTTTTGGTTACTTAGTTGCTTGGTAACATCACGTATTAACCCATGGAAGATTGGGATAAAGGCCTGAATTAAGAAAATGATAGTTGTTAACGTCAGCTCACATGATTGTTCCGAGTGAGGGAGCGAACAATCGCTCTAAGTGGATTGAGCTGTGATGGAAAAAGAAAAAAGTGATGTGTGACGTATAAGTGATGTGTTCCACGTGTTTAAGAATAAATGTGATTTCCAATATATTTTTCTCCATTGTAAATGTTTTTTGGGGGGAGAGGTGAGGGGGGGGGGTGGGCATTGGAAAATAAGGTCTTCACTCCTCCATCTTGGCTGTGTGATACGTTGTTGGGCAGACAGACGATCCAGTGAGGCCACAGTGGTGTTTTAACCTTGAATCGGAAGGGCAGAGTACTCCGAATCTCGGTGTCCCTTGAAAGCCCCTTCCCCATATGCAGTGCGTTGATATATGACGGCCTTAGTGATGTTGGAGACTGCCAGAGCACAATGAAGTGATGTTATGTCACGAGGCTGCTTTCCTTTTTTTCCACTCCCTACTAGACATAACTAATGAAAAGGTTGCAGTCGGTATTTGCTTAAGATATCACACATCCTACATACACTTGTTGTATGAAGTGTATAAAACCTGCAACAGCAAATTAAAATCGACAACGCATCCATAGTTCCAAGACTGCTTATGAGTTCTCTTGAGATACTTTGATCCCAGACCACATACTTGATGTGTGTCTCAAGTCCAACCCTAAAGTGTAATTTTCTGTACTGGAAAGTCTGAGGACATTGTGTGTGATGCGGCAGTATGGATTGATAAGGTAACCCAAGTGAGTCGGGAGCTCAGTTTAGGATATGCAGTAAATAGCGTCAAAAAAATGAAAAGACAGAAAATCTCTTGATGCTGAGAAAATTGGCCTTTCGGAATCTCTGCTGTGAGAGCACTTGGAAAGTAAGTGCTGCTTTGTGCACTCGTCCTTTTGACAGTCATTAGTCACATTTAGCGCAGGGACTGGTGCTTACGTCGCCACATATCAGCGGCAGCTACTAACTTTTGAGGAAGTTGTACTTGTCTCAGTACTTTTAATACAACAGACTATTTACGTTAACTTCAGTATTGGTGTTAAGATGAAATGCTACTTTGACTGCCTTACACTGAGCTACTTTCCATTGGCTGGTTTACCTCTGCCGTAGTGTTGCACTACCAGTCTCGTACCAGGAATTTTCGCCCAGGAAAAATGATCCCATTATTGCCAAAAAAAACCCAAAAAAAAAAACAGTACTTCGGGTCAAGACATAAATAAAAAAATGCACTCCAATTCTGTGTCAGACGAGGCGCCACACAGCGCATCCACCATGGCACGGAAGGTGAAGCTCGTCTGTGACAAGGGTCAGCTGGTTAAATCCTTCCCATGTAAATAAATAAATATCAGAATCTGGATATTTATATTTTACAGTGTTATACATTTGCTGTGGCTTCGTCCAGCGCCCTCCATTCATTGACGCGCGCTATACGTACCCGCTCGGCGACGGCATCCGCGCTTATCAAATTATAAATTATAAATCCTGTCTATTACTGTTGTAAAATACAATACATGCGGTCGGTTGGTTCGCCAACTATCAAGCAATTAGAAGCTTAAAGCACACAGACGTATTTTTTTATGCATATATAAAAGTAATGGATGAGTCGCATCACTCGTGCCATGTAACAGATGATTTATACTTGAATATTTGCCTTATTGTCGCATGCGCAGTCTTTGTTTAATGATGTTTTAACTGACGTTTTTATCGTGTTATCATTCCAGTACCGGTATCGAAGCATTTTATGCAGGTGTCAAAGTCAACGTTTTGGTATCGTGACAACTGCTACATAACTAATGATGTGAATGCACAATGCCACAATGGCTGCGTGAACACACGATTTCAACATGGCAATGTCCTGCTTCAGTGGGTCGTATCTGAAAAGGACAGGCGAGTAAATGCAGGCGCAATGTTGGACCTCTGAAGTGCCAATTTGCCTACGAAAGGCATTTGATCCTGGCTTTCCACAATTCCCTTTCTCAAAGGCAGCCAGTCTGCCTGTGAAGAAGGAAATTCTTCTTCCCACCCATTCAGTGTCAGGTCCAGTTCACACAGACCAGCTGGATGTGGAAAAAGCTGAATATTATTAGTTATTACTAACATATAACAACGCTATTAAACATAACTTGAGCAAATTTGTTATTCAGTATGTATCAAACTGGTACCTCTGAATTCATCCGTAAAAAAGTAGCTCTCGGTTTCAAAATGTTTAGTGACCCCCCTCGATGAAGTCAAATAACCATTTTCACAATTTAGTTCTCCGTGAACCCAATATGCATGTTTTCGGAATGTGGAAGGAATGGCCTCCGCACTGTGAGGGCAACGTGCTCATGATTAATTCTCCGCGTGGGTTCTGTGAGCACAGATGTTGAGAACATTGTTGTGCACAAAATAATACTTGGAGTATGTCTGGAGGTCGACCAAATATGTCAATGAATCTTACTTATTGACATGATATTTTTCCTGGTGAATTTCTTTCTAATTTCTTCATCGCTAGTGTGGCGGTTCAAACGATTCCTCGTTTGCCGAGGGGGTCGGCGCAAAGGATGACATGACCCGGAATAGCTGTTTAGAAATGGATCGATGCCGAACAATAGTCACTGACTGGTGGAGGAGCTAAAACACCACGTAGCCATAAACGTGTTCAAATGGGATTCTAATGTGTGTGAAAGAGACTGGTCAATGAAGACGATCGAGTGTGGAAATAAGATTATGTAAGCAGTGAATGTATTCGTCAAGTTTAAAGATAGACTGAAGTTCCCAAGATTTCTGGAGCGCTTTCTGAATCACTGCTTAGGGGGAAGAGAATGATGGTGCATCATTAACTTCTCCCCAATGTCATTAATTATGTAATGCGCAGCCGAATCTTCTGAAGGGGTGTAGCGCCTTCTCTCCCACTGATTTATCTTTAACTTAACTTTAACTGGTGGCGTCAACAATGCAATTCATTCTCAGCCCGATCAGGATGGTAAAGTGCAAGATGTACGTACATGCTGTCACACTAAACGCAAAGTGCCAGTTAGGGAACTTTTGTCTTCTTTGGAAATTATTTTGATGCATGCCTCCAGTCTTTAGATTGGAGGCATGCATTTATTTCCCTTGAATACATTTTAGATTTGGTTATGTGCCATCATGCTGCACCGTTGATTATTCCTGGAAAGAACGTGCAAGAGAGAGAGAAAAGATTTTCCAGGATTCTTTGTGCCACGTGCCAAGAATGTCACTGTAAATCTTTGTAGTCATTTAGCTAAAGAACATTCAGCAAAGATGACAGCCATGGGAAAACTTGGCCAATAAAGAAGTTCCGATGTTTTTGTAGTGGTGGGACTTGATATAAACAAGTATGTAATTAATTATAGGCTTCACATTTCACCATAAAAAAAATACGGTTGTCCCATTGAACATTTCATGCATTCATTATCCGAGCCGCTTGTCCTCACAAGGGTTGCGGGCGTGCTGAAGCCAATCCCAGCCGGCTTTGGGCAGAAGGCGGGGTACATCCTGAACTGGCTGCCAGCCAATCGCAGTCCCATTATTAAACGGTGTTTGCCAATTCAATCACTTTTTGGTTGGCAAATAGGCATAAATATTCGTGAACGTCATCTGTAAATCCATCAATCCATTTCTTTCGCGTTGTCCTCATGAGATGACCTGGAGCCGATCCCAGCTGACTGTTGGCATGAGGTAGCGTACACCCTGGAATGCTCATCAGCCAATCACATGGTTGCGGTTCGGCAAATCCAATCAATTGCCTTCCCAAACATCTTATTAAAACTGATTCATGGAGTTTGCTGGTAATATAATAAAACAAGGATTAAAAGGCAAAAAAGGTGAATTAAAACAGTTTGGTTTTATTTTAATGTTTATGCTAATGGGCTAACCTTCATCATGTAGGCTACAAATGCCCATTTAAAGAATTTTGATGGTGTCTGGTGGTTAATATATTTGCCTGACTTGTTTAGCGTTTCTTTTCACAGGCGAACATCTGCGAGTGTGTCCACAAGGCAACACATGCTGTAGCCAAGAAATGGAGGATGCCTTCGGTCAGCGGAGCAAACAGGAGTTTGGTGATCTGGTGGATGAGATGAGTCATACTTTGAGGAGCATGTTCGTATCCAGACATCAGAAGTTTGATGGTAAGTCACCTGTGAATGTTCAGAATGTTTATCTTGGTTGCCAGCATTTTGGACCTGGTTATTTGGTAGGTTGTATACATGCTGCCGTAATTCCCGTGTCTATATTCACAAGATATTTTTCTCAAAAGAGTGGTTTCTCTTTGAAGTTACTCCGTTTTTTTTTTTTTTTAATAATTAAAAAGGTACCAATCTAAGTGCTAGAAGCGCTATGCTGGTGGAATGAGATAAAACTGTGCATGAACAATACCGTACGTATGGGCTACAACATTTTGGTTCATTTTAATAAAATGTTCTGTGAAAATTTGCAGCGAAAATGAGGGGTGTTTTGGCCAACTTGGTTCTGAGGCTGAGTTCGATTGATTCTATTTCCATTAACTGTAATAGGAAAAAGAGCTTTGGTTCACAAACATTTTGGTCCGTAAACAGAACTATATAGTGATTTTTTTTAATCGAGGTTCCACTGCATGTGAGATCAGAAACTAACTTTGTTAACTGGTGATAATCTGCATCCAACAAAACGACCGGTAAGCTTTTGGCTTTGACATGATAGCAATGGGGCTGTGGGGATGTTGGTGATTCTGCATGATCGTGTTTCTGACAGTGTTGACTCCACTGCCATTGTCAAAGCAGAGTTTCTGGTACCGCCATCCATTTCGCAAATCACTGAATGCTTACTTGTTACACCCGTAGTATTTGCTAACAGTCTTGCGTCAACACAGCGTGACTCGCGTATCGTGGCTTCCATGGCAGCGCATAAGCTACACTTCTGTCAGTGTACGCATCTCGGAGGGGAATTCATAACCGGCGTGAAGACAGAGAAGCCATGCCACTTGCTAAGCTATCAACATGTCGTTTCAAAACACCAAAATAAATAATTGGGTGATACGGTCCACCTGTCACAAAGGTCTCGCTGGATCCACCTTGTAGCGGAAAGTAACCACCTTTGAACACAAAATAGGGACCAATTATTCTGTGCAGTGCCACAGATATTCACCTCATGTGGAGGTGACTCGCAGTCCAGTCTACTGACATGTTTCTCGCTCTGCATTTATCTTTTTTTTTTTTTTTTTTTTTTTTTTTAATGACGAACTACAAGGAACATGAAAAAGACTGTCGGTGTTAATTTGATAAAAAGTTAACTGTTTGTAGCGCTTCACTCTATTCCCCTCAACCCCTCATATGGAGATGAGAAGCCCTTATTAGTATGCAAGATGGCAGAGTAGCCTTCCTCTCGTTGGATTAAACAAAACACAGCTTCTTGCTCAGCAGATTGACAAGAGCAGCCTAGAGCCAAACTTTGCATTATTAACCTCTGTTTCATGGTCTTGTGGGCCGAGCTGTGAGATGAAGCCCCCACAGCGACTGCCTTGACCACTGGGCTGATGTTACATGAGGCGGAGGGGGGAGGGGGGGCTTCATTACTCAACACGGACACACTCTTACCTCTTTACCTCCTCAATGGAGTTATCTCCTCTTAATAAAATATAATAATCCCTTTGGCCCCCCCCGACATGAGACTGTGCGGGGAGGGATGTCGTATTACCTCACATGGCGAGGTGAAAACTCTAGGAGAAAAAAATAGCCACCTGTCTTTTTGATGTTTAAGGTGATTTCAATGGCGCGCCCGGTGGATTGCAGCATATAAAACTTTCATTTCTTATTAAAGTTGTGCCCATTAAGTTTTAATTCCTCGTTGACTTTGGAGCTCTTGACGTTTCCTTGGTAACAGGAAGTATGGCTTTAAAAGGATACCTCACACTCCAGTTGAGAATTTGTCTGACGAGACGTCCGAAAAAAAAAGTTGTTTTTGTGTTTATAGCAGCCGTCAGATTAATCCATGTCATTGTTTTGTTTTTGTTTTGTTGTTTTTTTTAAACAGAAATATGCTTTCATATTATCTCTGTAAGGTGTCCAAGCAGTCCTTCGGAGGGTCCTATAAAATATAAATGAACCACAAATTTTAAAAATAAGCAACAAACTCCATCTTTTTTCTTGCGGCCACGTCACACTTGTTGGACCGATGGTGCCTGGAAAAAATAAAGGAGGCTTATTATAGAGCTTAAGTTTTTAATTACAATTTCCTATGGTATTAATTTCAAATTGGAACATGCTAAGCTGATAATGCTTCACAGAAAGACCCAATCGGATTTACTCGTCCAAACTGCATGAATGCACTCGAATCGAGGTAAACTTCAAGTACCACGTCATCAAATAAGACCGTGCTTCCCCAGTATTTATTGAGCCAGAGCACCAATTTTACATCAGACAAGATTCAGATAAAACTGTCAAAAAAAGTATGAATGCTGAAACAATCATCTTGTCTCAATTTACTCACAAAGTCACTGAGAGTGAAATCTCGGCCCGTTCGGTTGCAGGAAGTCACGACTTACTCCACTGAAGATATATTTGTCATTCACGAGTAATGATTTCTGGGTAAATGACGCGAAAGTGGATGATTTTACGCAGCACTCACGATCGTTTCTCACAACACACTGGATGGGAATCGCTTCGCCAAGTAATATCATCGACGACAAATGCAACTTAATACACCGCTGTCAATATTGTGTTCTTTCAAAAATATTAAAGCAACAACAACAAAATTAAATAGTAGAACATGACACCATTTTGGTAATGTCGGAGCTGGAGTGAGGTCCGCCTCTTTCATCCAGGAATGTATACTCTCACTCTCCAATGGACATCATTCCTGGAAGCACATGAATAAATAAGCATTTTTATATATTGTGATCTACTGCTGTCGATGGATAGTGAATTTCACAAGCAGGGAAGGGAAGACTTCGGCTTCGTCCATGCGGATAGTTCCCTCTTGGGGTTTACTGCCATTCTTCATAATTTCATCAGCGGCAGAGCAGATTCTGGTTTGAAGTTTCGCCTTTGTTCCTTTGTGCTTCCACCCAGTATTGATTGCTATATTAAGTGCCATTCATCAAATTAAAGTTTTTGAAATGGAGCGCGTTTTGTCAGGATAGAACAAAAGCAACGTAAATGGACGCGGGTGATTCACTGGTAGGAGATTGGAGAGGAAAGCGTAAATCTAGATACTGCATTATTTATTAAGCTTGTGCATTTGTGAGTTCATCCATTTCTCTGCTAAGCAGCAAAGGCGCGAACGAGATGAGTGTTCGTGTTGGTGTTGAGCCGAAACATGCCCAAACGGCCATCCCATAGTTCATGTCGGCGCTTTTTAGCACTGAATTAACGCCTGGCATTGAAGGCCCACCTACACAGTGATGTTTTCCTCTCGAAGGAGACTTTGTGAAGAGCATGCCTATCAATGTGTGGGGAGATAGCGGATACATTCCAATCAGAAAACCTTTCGGCAACCTCTAAGTTTTAAAACAATTGTTGTAAAAAAACCCCCCCGAAAAATATTTCCAAGCTTTTCAGCAAACTGCCACGGCTGTCAGAACTGCGTTGTCATTAATAACAGCGCAAACTGCAGTTGATGTGTTGTTTTGGCTCTGTACAATAAACCTGAAATGAATTTTGACAGATTTGATCTGCACTACACAGACTGTAAACATTAAAACTTATTGCTTCCCAGAAACACGCTTTGTGTGGAGCTCTTGTTCGTACATCTTCAAAGATAGTCATAAACAATGCTGAGGTTCAAACTGAAAAAACATCTTCCATCTCAATAGGGTGGTGGGTGGGCTGGAGCCCATCCCAGCTGACTTTAGGAAAGAGGCAGGGGCACACCATCAGTTCTCCACTCTCATTTGGAGATTTGGCCCATACACTTGCTTTTTCCTTAAATGAACTGTTTCACGTGTAGCCATGACAAGTTCATCATCATCCACGTCAATATTTTGGAAATGTTAAAATCATTACAAGAATCAGATTCCTCCCGCTGAACTAGACATTCAGTCCTAAGCTGCTCTTCATATTTGTGCTCTGCCTGATAATATTTTCCAGACTGTCATTGTGAGCTGAGTGTGGACTGTCACTGTCCACACTAATGTTGGCAGGCAGCTAACGCAACATGACTTTCAGTAAACTTGCGAACAAATAAACACATTGTGCTTGGGCTGCCTGCCAATATGCTTCACGGGCTATTTTTTAGATTTGGGTTTCAACAAGTAGCTACCGCCTAGCTCGGCGCATAGTCGCAATGGTAACAAAATATATTTTTTTGTTGGCGCACACTCAAAACAGGCTGATATGTGTTCCTAACCCACTCACGGGGTAACTGCAGCTTTTGAGTGGATTGGGTTGCTTTTACTCAAGTTAGGTTAAATATTTTGACTCATCAGATTGGGTTGAAGATGAAGGCGGTTGCCATTTTTGATGGCTTTGGTAACTTAGGTTGAAGTCAATTTAATGTCGCATTCTTAAAAAATTGTGGTGGTAGCTCAGTGGGTAACACCCAGGCAGGGTGAATTGCCCACCAACGGAAAATGGGTGGGTTGGGTCAAGGGTATCTGCGATTAAAAAATGTGCCAAAAATTTCAAGTCAGTGACTTGACAAAGGAAAGTGGCTTCTACCTCTGAGAAAATTGCTGTAATAACATGTTTATTATTTCTGACCACAGTTATGCAAATTACCTGGTAACCCATTTTTTTGTTTACTTGTTTTTTTTTCACCTCATGTTGGATTAAATCCTCAACCCAATGTAACCCAATAGCTCTTTTGGAACCTGCGATTTCACCCAATTAGAATTGCTTTTGACCCAGCAGTTTTAAGAATGCACACCCTGCGGTGAGGGGATGTGGGCGGAGTGAATACTGGCTCATTTGCATGAGAGAGGTCCGCCCCCTCAATGATGGCATTGAGCGCCCTCCCCCCACCAAACCCCCCAAAATAGGGGGTGAAAAGTTGGCAGGAATTGCCGAGCAAGAAATTTACACCAACAAAGTTACTCATTCAATTTTCTTTGCAGAATTCTTCTTGGAGCTTCTGGAGAACACCGAGAGGTCCTTGAACGAGATGTTCAAGCGGACGTACGGCAAGCCGTATATGCAGAACGCCGAGGTTTTCGAGAACCTCTTCGCCGAGCTCAAGCGCTACTACACGGGGGGCAACGTCAACCTGGAGGAAATGCTCAACGACTTTTGGTCGCGGCTGCTGGAGCGCATGTTCACGCTGCTCAACTCCCAGTACGTCATCACCGAAGACTACCTGGAGTGCGTCAGCAAGTACACGGATCAGCTCAAGCCCTTCGGAGACGTGCCCAGAAAGCTGAAAGCTCAGGTCACCCGGGCGTTCATCGCTGCTCGCACTTTCGTCCAAGGACTCTCCGTCGGCCGCGAGGTGGCTCAGAGAGTCTCTAAGGTAAACTGTAGAAGGCCTAAGAATCAACAATTTTTCTTATTTTTTTTTTTTGTGCATCATCCGCAGATTTTAACACGCCCGAGGTCATGTTTGCTGTTTGCGTTACGAGCTGGCTTTTCTCTGCTGTTTCACTCTAAACAACTTCTTGTCTCTGAATAATTTTTGTGTAGGTCTTCAAACAGCTTAAAATGTGCAGATGTTGTTTTCCAGAGGTGACATGCAAAAGAAAAGACAAACCAAGAAGTGGTCAGTGTTTTTGCAAAGTTTTCCCACAACATCTACCAACCATAATTAAGACGTCCGTCCTTAATATTCTGTTTGATGTAACGTACTGATTTAATGCCTCTCCTGCTTCTATACCGGACTGCCCCAGGAGTGTTTGCACTTTTGATCATATACAGGGTGAGATTAAAGGAAGAGGCACCGGGCTAAATCTTGGATTAATTTACAGCAAGTGTCACTATGCAAACGCACGAACGTAACTCCTGTGTGTTAATTTCACTCTGCCATCACTTGTGGTGATGTTCCCTCTCAAGCAATCTCAAAGGACCTGTTATACGTGTTGAGTAAAAGTGTGAGCAGACACCTTCCAGTCAAACCAAAAAAGACGTGATCACGACTTTAACCAAGCGAAAACACTTCAATTCCACTCCAGACTCAAATCACATGGAATCACCTTCATCATGTCACTGATTTGGAATTTAACCCCACCAAGCAAACTACGACACTATCATTAAACAGTTGATTGATACTAAGGGTTTAAAGCCAAAGACGTATTTGTTAGCGACAACTGAATGAAAACATCCAAAAAGCTTTTCAAAAAGGAATGACTTTTGTTGTGAAAACAACACAAAGGAAAATCCAAGATAAGCAGGCAAACTGTTCTATAATTTATAACTGACTGTCCTTTCAGTGGACTTTCTCAAAGCACATAGAAGATTCCCCCTTAGGCAACAGACGTGATCATGGAAGTAAAACATACAGTACTGAGGACTCAGAGCAGTGAGTGCTTTGTAAACTCAAAGGGGGACTTTATCGGCTGAAACTAACAATGAGCCAGATATGGTTTCAGACTCTTAAGGTCTTTCTGGTTAAAATTCCAATGATTTATGATCAATCATCATTGGCATCTTTAGAACGATGTGTAAAGAGAGATCTCTCTTAACCCCCTTTGGAAAAAAAATACCGGTACAAATTTTCAAAATGATCTGTTGATTGGACTGACTTCCATATTCACTGTTGACACTTTTATGAACACGGTTCAATATCCATAAACAAAATATTTGGTTTCAGATACATACATTTCAAAATAAAAATATCCAAAAGTGATGAGGACCAAGGATGAAGCCCTGAGGAACCACATAGTCTGCTTTGTATACAATGGATTGCAAAATTTTAGCGCTCCACCTGCTGCATGTCACACAACATGTTTAAACAATACAGGGGCTCCTCACTTAACGAGTGAGTTCCACTCCTACAGTGGCAACATCACATAGTTGCAATGTAATGTAGTTGTTGAAGTGTCCATTTTAGGATTATTATCCAGCCATAAAAAATGACCTTGCCTGAGTGATTTTGTCTAATCGGTGCTGTAGTTGAATAAGGTATACTATACAGATTGGGCATGAAATCCTCCGTCCATTGTCCCAACGTGTATGCCATTAATCGCTTCTCACAGATTGTCCTTGTTTTTCTGGTTCTTTAAAATAATTAAAGCAAAAATTCCACAAAAGTTAACTAAAAAGCAAAATGTCCCTATGGTGCTCGATGAACTGCGTGACATTTTACTGAAGGAGTTCCACAGTGCTTCAGTGATGTCTACTGTTCAGTGTCCCCTTCTTACATTCTCTCTGTCAGTTGCTTGACCTGCGTGACCTAACGGAGCACTAATGTACCAAGTGGGCCGAGGTGCAACACGCGCGTCACTCAATAGCAATCACTCACAGCCAGTGAGTCACAGGATGAAGGAGCATGGAGAAGAGCGAGAGGCCACCTTCTCATATGTTCGCCTCCGTCCCTTCCTCTTTATGAGCAGAGCAGCCTGGTCATTTGCTCGCTGCTGCTGCCACTGCTGCTGTTTCCCAGCATGTTGATGCCGTAAGAGATGAATGTATGTGTGTGGCAAACAGCCGTAGGTGAGTGCATGCCGGCTGTGTCCAATTCATCCCTGAGATATATGACAAGCTGGAAGGAGAGTGGAGAGAGCTCATCTTCTTGTTTATTGTGAAGAAGTGGGCCCACGGGTGTCACACATTTAACTCCGAGGCGGAGAGGCGTTCTTATATCTAGCACCTTAGAGCTGCTATCGCCACTCGGCTGGAAAGAGGTAGCAAAGGGAGGGGGAAGGTGGGAATACGCATGCGGGTGTTTGTATTGATGCGGCACACCCTGGATGCAATGATAGAATGCACACTGCTTCTGTCAAGTCTTGGGCACATCCCATCATTCTGCTGTGACGTTAACATGTGCACAAACATGGATCTGTGATAGATTTATTGAACAAAGCCGCAGCTCCAACAAAGCCTTCAATGGAATATTTCCAAGACTGCATATCAAGGCTTTATCGGGCCAGTATTGTGCAGGAGGAGTCCCCGTCCAGCCTCGTCCTTTTAAAGCGCTTCCGTCCCAGCCCACCCCCCACCTCCCAAAAAAAAAAAAACACGCCCGCGCAAAGGCGGGGGGGGGGGATAATTAATACCCTACAGACGAGACAGCGCTTGCTTTGAGCCATACATTCACATAGCACTGCTGATCCCCATCTTGAATGGCGCCTTTTGCAACAACCACAAGCAAGTCTTATCATAGAAAATATTTACATTCCATATACAAAGACGCCGTCTTGAGTACGTGGATGCCGCGGCCGTATTGGATGTGACAAAATGAAGCAAATTGTGAATATTCTTCCTACTTGGAGATGTATCATCAAGCAAAATATGTTTGATTGAATGTTGTTATCCTAGCTGCGATCGATGGCCACCGAAATTTATGTTGACATTTTAGTGCTCACATCAATGTCTGAAAATATTAGAACGATCGCCCAAGTATTACGCATTTTAGGGTGTCTTCCTCTTCATAGAGCCCCTCACTACAAAGCTTATGTCACTTCACGAAAGAATTGCGTCGCCCATAAAATACAAAACACATGACATGTCTTGCAACATTACATCATTGGCATCTTTAGAACGATGTGTAAAGAGAGATCTCTCTTAACCCCCTTTGGAAAAAAAATACCGGTACAAATTTTCAAAATGATCTGTTGATTGGACTGACTTCCATATTCACTGTTGACACTTTTATGAACACGGTTCAATATCCATAAACAAAATATTTGGTTTCAGATACATACATTTCAAAATAAAAATATCCAAAAGTGATGAGGACCAAGGATGAAGCCCTGAGGAACCACATAGTCTGCTTTGTATACAATGGATTGCAAAATTTTAGCGCTCCACCTGCTGCATGTCACACAACATGTTTAAACAATACAGGGGCTCCTCACTTAACGAGTGAGTTCCACTCCTACAGTGGCAACATCACATAGTTGCAATGTAATGTAGTTGTTGAAGTGTCCATTTTAGGATTATTATCCAGCCATAAAAAATGACCTTGCCTGAGTGATTTTGTCTAATCGGTGCTGTAGTTGAATAAGGTATACTATACAGATTGGGCATGAAATCCTCCGTCCATTGTCCCAACGTGTATGCCATTAATCGCTTCTCACAGATTGTCCTTGTTTTTCTGGTTCTTTAAAATAATTAAAGCAAAAATTCCACAAAAGTTAACTAAAAAGCAAAATGTCCCTATGGTGCTCGATGAACTGCGTGACATTGTACTGAAGGAGTTCCACAGTGCTTCAGTGATGTCTACTGTTCAGTGTCCCCTTCTTACATTCTCTCTGTCAGTTGCTTGACCTGCGTGACCTAACGGAGCACTAATGTACCAAGTGGGCCGAGGTGCAACACGCGCGTCACTCAATAGCAATCACTCACAGCCAGTGAGTCACAGGATGAAGGAGCATGGAGAAGAGCGAGAGGCCACCTTCTCATATGTTCGCCTCCGTCCCTTCCTCTTTATGAGCAGAGCAGCCTGGTCATTTGCTCGCTGCTGCTGCCACTGCTGCTGTTTCCCAGCATGTTGATGCCGTAAGAGATGAATGTATGTGTGTGGCAAACAGCCGTAGGTGAGTGCATGCCGGCTGTGTCCAATTCATCCCTGAGATATATGACAAGCTGGAAGGAGAGTGGAGAGAGCTCATCTTCTTGTTTATTGTGAAGAAGTGGGCCCACGGGTGTCACACATTTAACTCCGAGGCGGAGAGGCGTTCTTATATCTAGCACCTTAGAGCTGCTATCGCCACTCGGCTGGAAAGAGGTAGCAAAGGGAGGGGGAAGGTGGGAATACGCATGCGGGTGTTTGTATTGATGCGGCACACCCTGGATGCAATGATAGAATGCACACTGCTTCTGTCAAGTCTTGGGCACATCCCATCATTCTGCTGTGACGTTAACATGTGCACAAACACGGATCTGTGATAGATTTATTGAACAAAGCCGCAGCTCCAACAAAGCCTTCAATGGAATATTTCCAAGACTGCATATCAAGGCTTTATCGGGCCAGTATTGTGCAGGAGGAGTCCCCGTCCAGCCTCGTCCTTTTAAAGCGCTTCCGTCCCAGCCCACCCCCCACCTCCCAAAAAAAAAAAAACACGCCCGCGCATGGCGTCAAGAAAAAAGGCAGGGGGGGGGGGGATAATTAATACCCTACAGACGAGACAGCGCTTGCTTTGAGCCATACATTCACATAGCACTGCTGATCCCCATCTTGAATGGCGCCTTTTGCAACAACCACAAGCAAGTCTTATCATAGAAAATATTTACATTCCATATACAAAGACGCCGTCTTGAGTACGTGGATGCCGCGGCCGTATTGGATGTGACAAAATGAAGCAAATTGTGAATATTCTTCCTACTTGGAGATGTATCATCAAGCAAAATATGTTTGATTGAATGTTGTTATCCTAGCTGCGATCGATGGCCACCGAAATTTATGTTGACATTTTAGTGCTCACATCAATGTCTGAAAATATTAGAACGATCGCCCAAGTATTACGCATTTTAGGGTGTCTTCCTCTTCATAGAGCCCCTCACTACAAAGCTTATGTCACTTCACGAAAGAATTGCGTCGCCCATAAAATACAAAACACATGACATGTCTTGCAACATTACAAAATGCCAAACTTTGAAAAATGTGCAGGACTCTCGCATGCAAACATTAACGTATTCATGGCGTAGACGCCTGCCTACCGAACCTTATGTTCAGTAATGATGTGATAGGCTGTTGCAGATAAGACTGGCCATCAATCAAACCAAAATGACATCACTGTTTATTTACATTTTTAATGTCTTAGTGACAAGCAACTCAACAATAGTGTTTCACAACACAAAAATAGTACCGGGTGCCGAGACCTACAACACAGCCCGCTTTCTTACAAGGCTGGATTGATCGTAAGTGAAATGGGTGTCAGTAGGCACTTTGTTATGTTCTCTGGCTGTACACTAGGCGGCAGTGTTGCTATAAAGAAAATACAGAAGCATTTACAGTTCCACACACAGTGAAGGTATGGTGAAGAATCTGAAGTTTTATTTTACTTTATGTTAACTGTTTTGTTCAGCGCTTTGTTAGAGCTGCCGCTGTTGTGAAAGCGCTATATAAATCAGCATGTATTGTATTGCATGTATTGTAAGAATCTGAAGTGTGTTTGGAAAGGGTGAAAAACACATATTACACTCAACAATCTAATTTGCGGAATGAATAAGACTTATACCATTCCATTCCTGCAGCAATTGTCAAGTATGATTATGTCTTTTCCAAAGGCGCTCACAGCTCCACTCTTTGTGTGCTCTTACAGGTAAGCAGCACTCCGGCATGCATGCGAGCGCTGACCAAGATGTCGTACTGCCCCTTTTGTCAAGGCATGCCGGCCGTTAAGCCCTGCAAGAACTACTGCCTCAATGTCATTAAAGGCTGTCTGGCCAATCAAGCCGACCTGGACCCCGAGTGGAACCATTACATCGGTCAGTGTGCTTCATTTCTCACTGCTCTATTGGAGTTGATTCCCCTCATGTGCTGCTGAGCGCATGTGACTAATAATGCGATGGAGTTGGATACGGAGGCCAAAATAGAAACCTTTGCAGGTGACATTGTTGTAGTGTGGAAAACCCTGATTGGAATAAGACTCAGGAAAAACAAATGAACCGATATGATCTTTGATAAAGACAATAGAGTAGGACAGAATGTTGTACATCTTGATTTGTCTCACAATTGGGCAGTTCTAGTTTCGCAGAGGCAAATTTGAAATGTGTCTATTTCATACTAAATTTTATTCATTATTCGAGGGGATGGAAATTCTGCTAATTTCACATGAAAAATTGACCCCAAAAAATGTACATTGCGGGATAAACATTCAAACAAATGAAGTTTGGGCCCGAATTCATGTAATTTTGACCGATGTAATTTTTTCTTTTACATTTTGACAATAATAATGTATGTACCGGTATGTTTTGAACAACCTTTCGTTGTTAGCAAAACAAGTCATTACAGTGTTTTACCATGCCCATCTAACAAATGAAATACATAAAAATGCAGTAACTAAAAATGTGGCCTTTCTAACCGTTTTAATGAAATAATAAACAGAGGCTGTTAATGATTTGGCCACATTTAGATTAAAAAAGAAATCTGTAAAGTAACTCACATGGAAAATAATGGTCCATCTTGATGATGCATATGCCTGTGTAGGCTAAAATAATTTGAATCAACATTGTTGTTCTCACTGGTGAAGCTTACAAGAGTAACTTAATATGGATGAGAACAGATGGTCGATACCGCAATGCTTGTCTTGTCAATTTGACAGTTTGTGTAGAGTGAACTTGACTTGGAGGAGAGCTTTGCTTTATGTTTTGACAACACCGGCTTCTCCTCGAATGAGAAGTTATCTTTTTTTTTTCTCCCCTCCCTGATGTTCCCTCATTGCACACGATTTTCCTCACCGGATTCTTCTCTCCCGTCAAGCCTAATGGGGATTTGTAACCGGGCGGGGGAGCAGCCCGTCAACTTGAGCGCTGGGAACATGTTCCGCTGCTGAGACAAAGAGCGCAAACATCAATGTAACATTTATATATTAATTTCATATTCCATGAAAGGCCTTTGCTGGCGCACATGACTCCAGCAGGTAGCACGTCGTGTCAAGGTGCGACACTAAAAAGGGTGACTGTGCTGACAGCCTGTGGCAAAGAAAACACTGAAATCCCATCCCGGAGTTGAAGCTCTTTCCTTGAAGTCATACATTGCCTGCTTGCTCTCTGGGGTTACTTTGGGTCGTTTTGGAGGACAAAACATCAAAGTGTGCATGTTTTATCTGACTATCATTCACCAGTGTGTGCTTCCACAGCGAGATGACTTTTTACTCCTTATTTTGTTCTTACCTTTAAATCCTGTGTATGCAAGTGTTACAGCCTGGCTCTGCACTGGGCTGGAAATACATATTTTAGCGAGTCACGACTGAGTGAGAAGTGGGGAGAAAAGCAACAGAACGGTAACGGTTCAACCGTCATTATTTGTGGGTCTGGTCCAACTTCTCACACTTGATCACATCTATCTTCTTTAAATGGTAAATGTTGAGAGTTTTTCGAGAAGCTTTGCATAAAACAGACTTGATGCAGCAGAATGGAGAGAATATCAATAAAAGTAAATGCAGCCTTGGCTTGGTAATCACCGTTCCAAAAGTTCTAATAGCCTGAAACAACCCCAAATGCACAAAGATACCCGGTCTGTTCTAATATTGCCTTGCGAGCGACCCTCCTCCGCCCCCCAACACATCCCAAAAAAAATGCTATTTGGCTTATATACAGTATTAGCCTATTTTGGCCATTTAGTGGGATATTGCACAAAAGTGTTTATAACACGTGACCAAACCCGACAACAATGCCGCAAGAACTAGTATAATAACTGGTTTAAGTGAAACTAAAGCTAAAACGTTTTTTCTTTATGTTTGATGTTTCGGGACAAATGTTAAACACGTGTCATTTATTTTTACAAATTTTATGAAATATGTGTTAAGGGATAAAGCGGATCAGAAAACGGATGGATGGACGGATGTGTTAAGCATAGCAAAGGTAAAGGCGGCAGTGAGTCAAGTGGTCGTTGAAGAAAAACGCGGAGCCAGGCTGGGCAGCGAGGCACTGGAAGAAGACAAACAAGAACAATTGATTATGCATCTCACAATATGATCATTTATGTGAACACAAATGAAGCCTAAACATGAGATATTGTCATTGGCGGTACTTCATGATGACATATTGTGTCAAACAAAAGTCATTATATACATTTAAAGGGACCTACGGATCCTTTGTCTTAGTCCCCAATGATAGGGTGCCACCATTTATCAGTACCGGAAGGAAGTGCTTTCACCTGTTTTGCCGAATGCCGAAGTTGGTTGCACATTTTCTGGATTAGTATAGTCGAAACTTCCACAAAAGTGAATTTGACAGAAGCGAAATGCCCAAATGCACATTGCTTGGAATGATTATTTTCCTCGAGTTCTTCAAATAGACACCGTCCCAATTAGTTGCCAACTGCATCATCCACTCCAGACAAGTAAACATCTCTTTCAAACATTACATCTTCTCCTCAGTAAAAAAAAAAAAAAAAAAAAAAAAAAACAAGACTGGGAAGCTAACGTTCACGCATGGGCATTACAGTCTTAACTGCTGAACTGATCATCATTAGTTCATTTTTAGTCCAATGATAAGCTGATTAATTCAACGTTGTCACCTCAACAAAACACAAGCGCAAAAGGCAACGAGGTGTGTTGGTGACTTGGGTGGCCAGACAAGGCAAAGAGTCAGGCAGTCAGTTAGTCGGATGCTTGGTTAGCCAGTCTGTGGGTTGGTCAGACAGTCAGTTAGTAAGTTAGTTATTTAGCTGGTTGGACAGCCAGTCTGGCAGTCGGAAAGTTCCATTGTCGGTTAGTCATTGGGTTAGCAAGCAGAACAGTCAGTCAAGTAACAGATTGGTCAGTTATTTTGTCTGTTCGTTTTGTCAGTAAATTGGTTATTTAGCCATCTAGGCCATTCGTTGGTCAGCAGCTGGTTAGTTTAGGTGGATGGTCGGTTAATTAGTCAGTGAATCCGTCAGTCAGTCAGTTGGTTGTTTAGCTAGGTGGTTGGACAGGCAGTCGGTTGTTTTGTTGGTCAGACGGACAGTTAGTTTTTAAGCGAGCCGATTGGATAATGAGATGGTCTGTCAATCAGCCATTTGGTTCTCGAGTTGGTCAGTCAGTCAGTTGGTAGATCAGTCATCACTTAGTTGCTTAGTTAGTTCATCTGACAGTCAGACTCATGATTAACTCACAGAAACACACAAACGAATGTCCATGTTATTCATTTGTTCATTTTATACAAGTTTCACCTTGGCAACAGGCAATATCTGTGCCTCACTGGGTGATATCCAGTTTTGTATTGTGCCTTATTAATGCAGGAGCAGCTTTCAGTCTGTCTTCATCAGGCCTTCTCGTGGTCAATGACGCAGCGCTTTTATGAGTTTTGCCTGTGACATTTCAAGCTAATTTTAATGGGAACGATCTTTCGATTAGCTTAAGGTCTCGCCATAAAAGTTCTTCTGAACATGGACAGACAGAAATATGTGTCGAATTTGTATAAACGAAGCCATAATATGCAAAAATGACTTTATATGCCCGGTCTCTGAGGCTTTGGGCTGTGGGGTGGCGCACAGCGTCAGCTAAAAAAATCCATCTCGATGGTGCGCCGTTCACACCAACATCATATGTCTGCTCCACTGAGCACAGACGACAAGCTTTTGGAGAAGGTGAAAAATAATCCAGGCAAAAAATGTGAAAGCCTTTAAACTCAGACGCTGCACCCAATGATAGCTACATTTTTTTTCCAAGCAGACAACAATCTCTCGCTTCAAATAAAACACAGCACTTGACATTAACGAGACCTCGCCTCTTATTCCTTCGTGTGTGTGTGTGTGTGTGTGTGTGTGTGTGTGTGTGTGTGTGTGTGTGTGTGTATGGGGAGGGGGGGGGTGTTGACAGTTGCACCATCTGTAAGTTCTAACAGATGCACTGCTTCTGTCTGTACTAGTTATACATTCAGTATATTCCGCAAAGATTTGACATGATTGAAAGAAAAAAAAATCCATCTTTTCAAATATGCAAATGTATCCATAATACAAATGACACTGGGGTGCCTTAATCACCTCCTCCCACGGTCTGACCAGTCCTGCAATTATTCATGAAGAGATTTTCTTTTTCAAAACAGTATGAAATCCAAGCCCTCATGCACCCCCTTTTTTTTTTATTTCATCAAAACAAGAGAGTAATTAAATGATCCAATCAAATATTTCATTCACGCTGACTGGAAATTCCAAGGTTCCATAACATGTAAATACATATTTATTGGGACCCTTATGATTGAACAAGAATCTGTGCCAGGATGCTGGTTGGCCAAAGGCGAATTATGGAAATTTCTGTTCCAGGGTCAAATTGTGTCCATCATCAAAGCTTTATTAAGCGTTCAGGCAATGTTTCAATAACCATCCATCCTTCCATCCATCCATTTTCTGATCTGCTTATCCTTACAAGGGTCGCGGCGCGTGCTGGATCCGATCCCATGCGTGTTCGGGCTATAGGCGGGTTGCCAGCCAATCACAGGGCACACATTGACGAACAACCATCCACACTCACAATCACACCTAGGGACAATTTAAAGTGTTCCATTAACCTGCCACGCATGTTTTGGGAATGTGGGAGGAAACCGGAATACCCGGAGAAAACCCACACAGGCACAGGAAGAACATGCAAACTCCACACAGGAAGGCCAAAACCACAATTGAACCCTGCACCTTCGAACTGTGACCCCGACGTGCTAACCAGTCGACGACCTGGCCACCCTCAATAACAATATTTTATATTTTTAACTAGAATACCGGAAAGTAAAGAAATACACACACACACACACACACACACACACACACACACACACACACACACACG